TATGGACTATTTCCGTGCTTCAGCTTTCAAAATTTTGGTCCCTACACGTATTCGCTTTCAAATGTGATTCCTTTGGAAGAAACCGGACAACGAATAAGAGTAGAAAAATAAATGTTGCAATTTTATTCACCACTTTCAATGCAAATAAAGGTAATAACCAAAACCCACTGGATGCATTTATGACTGTATTAACATCAACTTCACATCAGACCATTTGTCCATGAAGAAGACCTTAGGAAATTAATGTTTATTTCGTTTTAGCTGAAGGCTGAGTAAAGCATATCTTGTTATAGGGAAGAGAAAATCAAATTTCTCTGAGTGGTTATTTGACGTTTGTGGGGTCTCCTTTGCTGAATTATTATTACGAAGAACGTCCCGGAACGCCGCCAAATTGATCTGGTCAAAACTATAATTAGAACAAGTCAATTTTTTCCCTGATCCCTAATTTACATTTAATGCATAAGTTATTATTTCTGTCGTGGTTAGCAGTGGAACCAAGAAGGCAAGATCTGCCCCACTTGAAACTGGCCAAACGGATGTACATTTTCCCCTTAACTTATACCAAATAATTAGCTCCTTAAACAATTGTGCGTTACTCAGTGAGCTTGCCAGTCCAGATAGCACCAGCTTGTTTTGACAGTTGTAATGTACATATAATTACTAGGATGGATTTATTCTATCCGGTTGTTAATATTCAGGATTAAATCTCGTTTAGTCTTTGATGCTACATTAGAAGCCTAATTGAGTTGTCTCGTTACCGCAATCCTGTCTTACCTAACAAAATTCTAAATAATAAAATCATAGTACAATGCGATACTTTAAAAATTCCCATAAACGGTGATTATAATATTTAGAATCACGATTTTTGTATTAAAGATAGTAAAAACGTCGGCCAAATTAAGATCAACTTTCTTTGTCACATGCTATCCAAGCCTCTAGAGTGGATTAACAATAAATATCATTTCAAGTCAAGCACATATCCATTTAAATCTTCCTCAAACTGCTTTATGGACCGATTAGAAGTTTCCTACACGCTCGATACAGCTTATCCAAGTCAATCTACATTCAACAATTAGCTGCTCAACATCTAATCTTGTGAATAAACAACCGATTGACACCTACTGGCCTTACCACTGATCATACCTTTTTCAGCCTCTTGCAGATACTCCACCGAAAACAGATATGGCACGGGTGACTTCGTCCTACACCGTTATTAAAGCTTCCGATATTCTGAAGGGATATAAGTTCGAAACTTCTAAAAGCCCCCAACTTCGCATGTATCTATTCTCGACCATCAGTTGTAAGTTGCAACGCTACCTCCATAAAGTGCGCCAAGTGTGATATTGACATGTTTCTTATGAAATCCATTTACATTCATATCTTATGAAATATCAACCCAGCTGAGTAATTTTCTACGGTGAAAATTGTAACTTCTTTAACAATTTGATCTTGCCTGTAAACTGGCATGCCTCATGTAACAATCTGTTATTTGAGAATAAATTATTATTATTATTAAGTATTTTGCCCTCCTATACTCTCCGTAATTCGCATTCTTCATTCCTCGATCCCAACTTCACTTGCCTTACTAGTTTTTCTTCCGTTATATGCTTCGTATTCCCTCTTCATTACTAGTAAATAATCATGTTTCTTGAGTTTTCTTCTGATCTTCATAACATGCGATTTAACTATCAATGATGTCTCACACATTGAACCTTAAAAATATCTTGCATCACGACTCAATAAAACTTAATACCACTAGAGGATATTGGGGTGGAAAATCAGAAACACTCAGAAAATGTCCGAAAGAACCACCATCAATCATAACAGTGACAAGTAATCATTGATGATTTCAGTCCACCCATGTTTGTGGGGCGAAACATTTTGGTTGTATGTGGCAGTTTGTAATCGGTAATGAGACAACCATTGAAGATATACTGTGATTTTTCTCCCGTGCTTGCTGCTTCTAGGACTCGTTTCTTATACCTTATACTAGCTTTGCTATTATACATGCATTTTAAAACGCTTAGGCGTAGATCTGACGGCTGGCGATAGATAGGAGTCATAAATGAACAAACATTAGAGATCTAGATAAATAGAGGCTTTGGTGATGAAGTCATGTGGACATCTAAACGATTTACGTTACTATTAGTTCTTCATAATCAATGTAAATTTATTCCACTTTACTCATTGATCATCAACCTCGCCGTTTCACTGTTACGATGCTTCACACACTATGTTTAGTTTTCATGGTTTGCCTGAAGTTCCATCAGTGATAAGTTTGATAATATGTATACCTGCCTGATAATATGTATACCTTAACTTCTTCCGCTGCCAAACACCAGGTTTTATCAACCGCTATTCGTAGTTAGTTCTCTCTTTCAGTTAGTTCCTCTACTTTCAGGAGCGCGGATGTAATACGCAGAAGTAAAATTTGGAGAGGATATGTGTTCACCAGGGTTACAGTTCGTATGATGTGTCAGAAGTGAGAAATTGTCTAAGATATATATTATACAGTGTATTCTATGTTTAGCATATTGTATTGCTTCAAGACTTCGTATGGCATAAGACACATTTTAAAAGGAAGGTAAAAGTTCGAGTTTTGATGTTCAGGTTAGTTTAAGGAACTCATTCACAACAGGCAAGCTGTCCAAAGAGACTCTCTCACTTAATTGATTAACTAAACCAACGCATTATAGATAAATTCTTCCGTTAACTGTAATACTAATTCAAATGACGAAATAGAAAACTGTTTAATTGCTTTCCAGTAATAAACGAAAATCAAGGATTGGGGTTTAAAGTTGAATTAAAAGCCTTGCTCTAACCCTCTAGTGCACCGAAACTGCAAGTAGACTATTATCAATGACGTCAGTAAAATTGATATACGTAAAGTGAGTTAATAGCATACAAATGTACGCATTGAAATGTTTCAAAAGGCTACCGATGGTAGACAATTGCACAAAGAAATTTTCATAACGGCTTAGATAACTTTCCATGGCCACCAGAATTGGTTGTACGAACGAAGTGAAATTACAGAACAAATGAATAATAACCAGAGATCAAAACTCAAAAACTCCGCTTGTAGCTCTTCTACAGTTACTGTTTCTCCCCATCCCGGGTGAAGGAGGGGGGTTGGGCATGGGGTCGGCAACATCATTCCGTAGAAAAAATCTTGCTACAAAAGCGCCAACAAGATTAAACAGATTAAACTATTTAAACTCTGCCCTGGAAGTTGAGGAAAGAATTATAACTCATCAGCATGAAAGCCGAGATTCTTCGAAAGTGACGGGGCAGATGCTACTTCTATCAACTTGCGGAAAAAGCTGCAAGGGAAGGGAATATATATATGTATATATATATATACTGGCCTTCCTATAGATGTCACTCCACCAACAATCGAAGAAATCACGATGGCCGGTCATCAGACGAATCAAGAATGGGAAATCGGCAGGACATGACAATATACCAGCTGAAGAACTGAAGTCGGAAATCGAGGTAACTGCAAAAATGCTTCACCTCCTATTCAATAAGATTTGGGAGGAAGGACGAGTGCCGCTGACGTAATGGAAAGGACACCTAATCAAAATACCAAAGAAAGGAGATCTGAGCAAATGTGAGAACTACAGAGGTATCACACTGTTGTAAGTACCAGGAAAAGTTTTCAATACAGTGTTGCTGAACCGGATGAAACACACAGTACACGCCCTACTTCGAGATCAAAAGGCTGGATTCCGTAAAGATCGGTCGTGCGCAGACCGGATTGCGACACTACGGATCATAGTTGAACAATCAGTTAAGTGGAACTCGTCACTATATATTATGGTAAATTCCTAGACACTATGGAGTACCCGAGAAAATTGTCAACTTTATCCAGAACACGTACGACGGACTACAGTGCAAAATGGTGAATGGAGGACAGCTGACAGATGAATTTCCAGTAAGGACCGGAGTCAGACAAGACTATCTACTCTCCCGCTTCCTCTTTCTTCTGGTGATTCACTGGATTATGAAGACCTCGACATCTGAGGGGAAGCACTGAATACAATGAATATCTCAGAATCAATTAGACGATTTGAACTTCGCAAATGACCTAGCCCTCTTATCTCATACACATGAACAAATACAGACGAAGACAATTAATGTAGCACCAACCTATGCATCAATAGGCCTCAACATACACAAAGGGAAAAGCAAGATCCTCAAATACAACACAGGGAACACCAACCCAATCACACTTGATGGCAAAACTCTGAAAGATGTGGAAACATTCACGTACCTCTAAAGCATCGTTGATGAACTAGGAGGATCTGATGAAGATGAGATGTAAAGGCGAGGATTGGCAAAGAAAGGCCAACATTCCTACAACTGAAGAACATATAGGACTCGAAACAACTGTCAACTAATTTCAAAGTGATAATCTTCAATATGAACGTCAAGACAGTCCTACTGTACGGAGCTGAAACGTGGAGAACTACTAAAACCATCGTCCAGAAGTTACAAATATTTATAAATAGTTGTCTTCGCAAAATACTAAATATTCATTGGCCAGATATCATCAGCAACAGCCTGTGGGAGGAGACAAATCATCTTCCAGATAAAGAGGAAATTAGGAAAAGACGTTGGGAGTGGATCGGACATACATTAAGGAAATCACCAAACTGCATCACGAGGCAAACCCTAACTTGGAATCCGGAAGGGAAGCGGAAAAGAGGAAGACCAAAGAACACATTACACCGGGGAAAAGCAGATATTAAAAGAATGGATAACAACTGGAGAGAACTGGAAAAGATTGCCCAGGACATTTTTGGATGGGGAATGCTGGTGGGCGGCCTATGCTTCTCCGTGAGGGTGACATGAGTGAATAAAGTAAGTAGCTTAACTTCAAAACATGAAATATGCTTTTAGGTCAAGTTTTGATTGTTGACAGTAATTTTTAATTCGCTGCTGAAACACACAACTTGCTTTTTCTCTAACTTTCGTCCTGCATAATTTAGGTGTTGTATGTTGTTTTTCTGCATTACATAGATAGCCAATAACTGTGACTAATGGAGGCACATTTGGTTGTACTACGGTCCGGTTCTGCTTTGACACTGAACTAGTTATCCGCGTTCTTGGATTAAAATCTAATTAACTTTTTGATCACTAGAAGAGAACACATGCTTCTTCAGTTCTCGTTGGTTCCTGGATCTATAATCCCACAAAAGCCTTCCAAATTTGGGTGGACAATGTCCTCACGGGTTTACTTCAATGGATTTTAACATTTTCCATCCCTCAGCTGCGCACGATGCCAGACCGTTCCTTTAGTCAGGCAAATAATTCAGGCGAAGAAAGTCAAGTGATCTCGAATGCGGGTAGCTTTTGTGAACTGGATGACCATGTTTGTCCTTCTGATAATAATCTAAGTCGCCTTTCACCACCATCTGCTACTTTCTTAATTCATGGATCAGAGATTTCTCACCATGCTCCTGCTCCTCCTATCAGGTCTTCAAGTACACTGTGAGTCTTTATAAAGCGTTTTGTTTCTGAATGTGTTCTGAGGTTTGGATTTTCCTTCCTGATTGAGTCATTAATACATAATAACTTAATGCTGTCTAGTCTGCTTCGTCAGACTAAAATGAGTTCATTGCTGATGTTTGGCTATACGACCATGTCTGTCTCCTCCTACATTACGTATAGAACCGTAAGTAGTTTATACGTTCCCGACTAGATACCTCATTGGTATGGATACGCTAATGGTCTACAAAATTAGATTAATAGACAACGGTCTTAAAATCACACCCAGACCTGTCAAGGGATCTTAAAGATTTCCTATTGCCTAGTACATCACTAATAGTCTGGTTTAGATTTATGTATTTAACCCCAGACGAATCAGTCCTTACCAATTAATTCAGGGAACATAGTGTTGAAACAAACCATCTTACATGTCTTCGAGTTAATATGTTCATACAACAGACTAGTCCTACTGTTCCCAAGTTGATCCTTCTATATCCAGACGGATCCCTGTTCTCAGAAAACAGTCTAAGTAAGCTACATTTGAATCAAACACGTCAGCTAAACTTTGAATATTTTAAGTGAAAACCTCAGTCTTAAAGATAATGTTGATACGGTATATCAAAGCTTCATACTTGACGTCGCTTCAGCCTTGTTATGCTCGTCTAAATCTCTGGCACAATTTAAATATCAATGTATATCCTCGGAGACCTAGTTGTTAGTTTCATGAAGAAAGTTTCTAACTCATTTACTTCAATACAAACCTCAACGTAATGTTCACTTCTCATATCTTAAGCTTATGATTGATACGTCCGTACACCAAACTCCTACTTCACAGCTCCAACTTCAATATTGAATGACACCACTTTATCCTTTTCTTTCCTTATCCACCAGAGTGAGAAGTTCAGTGCTTGTGTAAAAACGTTGTTAGTCAAGACCTTAGAGGAATTATCGATATAAGTAAAAGTACATTCAAAGTCCATGAACGAAATTCACTGAATAAATTAATGTAACAAAAATGTGTTGACAGTTGACCAATATGCGAACTCAAAATTGTTTTTTTCATAAATTATATTTGGGGATTCTACATCCTCATATATTTGTTCTATAGTTCATTCAGTTTGCTTATGATTGATGTATCTTGTTATATTAGATCAATTACTTGCCCACCATTTTCTTTGTCGGGTCAATAATTAAAGTTTGACGCAAATTGGTAACCAAATATACATTCATATGTTATTAGCCGCTAAAGTTTTATAAAGACTAGTAATACTGTCGTATATCAAAATAAAGCGAAGCTCTTAGCTGTAGCTCAATGGCCGAAAGTCGAGTTCTTTAAGTATTAAGTAACTCCAAGTTATAATATCTTCTTCATCTGCCGCTAAATCTAATTAACAATAGTTCAGTGTAAACTACGTTAATAGATGTACAGTCAACTGTCGCTGTTAAACTAAAGTAGGGAAGACTCATTGATTTAGTTATTGTTGACCTGAAACCATTTCTATGTTTTATCAGTGCCTTTGTATGTAAATTTTAAAAGTAGACAGATTATTGGCAGACACCAATTTATCGTGGTTGTTAGTGGTTATCTTCAAAGTGGAATTCTTGCTGTGATAAAAAGGAAACAAGGTTTGATGGTCGGATAAGACACTCCAAAACTACTGCCTAAATGTATTTGTTCATCATGGCTGGTCGCGTCCTCTAATTTTTATTCAACTTTGTTTTAAATAGGATCTTGGAAACAACAATATTCACTTAACTTAGAGACCCACTCATCCACACCAACTACGGAGACGTAGTTTTGTTTGATAGAAATACTGACACTAGTTCCCGATCACCCTGAGTAGCAATTAAAAAAACACAGAAATGCAAAATGTTGCTCCAAGAGTAGTCTTCCTCAACACATATTCTTACCATAGAAAGTAAAGTAACTAGTGGCATGGCCAATGTTACTTTTGTTGAAAGCCTTATCACGTATGAGATTATTTATTTGTTTAAACATAAATATTGGTACAAAGGGGCACCAGATACATATGCGCCCCACAAATCTCATTTGATTTGTATGAGGGCTGTGATACTGCTCAGGTGCTCAAACTGGAGCAGGTGGTTTTCTTAGGAGGCCACACCCGTAGCCTTTGACCTGAAGGTCTAGTCCACAAGGCAGTGGAGCATCGTGAGGAAATGCGGCCCCATGGTAGCCGATGATTAACGATTGGTTCATACGCCATTGTTCCTTCAGGATACTGTAGCTCATGTGCACGATTGGTTTGGAATCGGTTTTCCAACTCCCCTTGGTGCACTTTCCGTGTCCACCAACCCGGTTAAAGCGCCGGACATTCGCTTTTAGTCCTCTCAATTTCGTAACCAACATTGCCGCGAGAAGGCAGTGAGTAGGACTTCCCTGAAAGAGGCTATATACGCGTGGCCATGTGAGAGCATTTCGAGAGGAAGAGCGGACTCTCTGCACTGTCGGCCGTACCAAGATTCCCCGAAACGAAATTTCAACTCATTCGCATCTCTTCGGCTTTTACCAGTGGTGTATATGTATTTGGTGCCCCTTTGTACCAATATTTGTGTTCAAATAAATAAATAAATCACATGGTTCAAGCAAAACGTCTCTTAATCAAAAGGTGTACATAATATACAGAGATCTATCGTATGTTGTTCTAAGACTGGAACGGTCTATAAAGCAAAAATATGCGTAAATTGCAAGCATCTGATCATAGTTATCTTCGAATTATTGCTTTTGTATGGTAGTTGTGCCTTAGTGGTTAAAGCACTTTCAACCAGAATACCACAGATTCTAATAACGTCTTATCTACCTTTGTTTACAAAGCCAGGTTGTATCATTAGCTAGCGCACTGCCTCGGAGTATATAAAACCTTTACTTGGTGAAGAAGTATGTAACCATCGAGTAAACAGTGGTAGTTGTATAGGACATTACGTGCAGGTAGAAATTCGATTTATGAGGCTATAGAAATTCATAGATTGGGTTAGATAAGATTTGTGTTACTCATGCTTAAGCATTACGTACCCAACACAATGATGACTAAGATAATAATAGGCTGGACAAAAGCTAGGGGTACCCAAACCAAAACGTGACGTTACTCCATGAAGTCGTCGACTTTTTATCTGAGCCGACCTCTGTTAGTGGTCTGAAACATTGGTTGACAGCTCAAAATCGATCGCCGCGGTACAGATCCATTCATCCTGCATTTTCCTATAGAGTTGGGGTCAGAATATTCATACTTTGTATTCTGCGTGTTCATTCTCCCTTTCCAAACTAGATTCTTGATGCTTAGTTTTTTATTAACAGATACTACTACTTCAACCACTTTGCTATTTCATCTTGTCTTGCTAACGTGGTATAGCAACTTAAGTCTATGCCCATCTGTCTCAAATTCTTTGAAGTTTATGGTTAACGGGTTGACTTGGTATGTTTTAGTGGACTTAGAATGATCGTTTACATCTCATTGTGGTCTCTACATCTTAAGTGTTTTTCTTAAAAAGAATTAACAGGTTGTGCAACTTGTACTATAGATTTGCCAAGTGTAGGGAGGTACATATTAGCTAAAATCACATTCCTATGTTAGACCATTAAAATTATGTAAATCACCAAGATAGACAAGGCTTTATTCGATATCCATGTGACCTAGTGAGCGAAGCAGCATATGTGATAACATTCTATTTTTATCTACTGATTCTCAAGAGTTGCTTGATATTCTTCACTAACAGAATTAACAGCCTATTCATTCTGCTTGATCAGTTTTGATAACCGATAACCTCTGAATGCCCCGGTACGGCCGAGGGTGAGGAAAGTCAGCTCTCCCTCTCGAGATGCTTTCAAATGGCCACGTGCATACAACCACTGCCAGGGAAGTCCTACACACTGCCTTCTCGTAACGGGAGTGTTGTTTACGAAATTGAGAGGACGAAAAGCAAATGTCCGGCACTTTAACCGGGCTGGTGGACACGGTTAGTCCACCAAGGGGAGTTGGAAAACCCTGATTCCAAACCAATGGTGCACATGGGCTCCAGAGGGAACAAATGGCGTATGAACCAATCGTTGGACACCGATCACCATGGGACTGCATCTCCTTACGTTGCTCCGCTGTCTTATAGATCGTACCGTATCTTATAGATTGTATTGTCCGTCAACTGATTGTATACGTTCATGTAAAAGACAGTTTAGTTATTCATTCTGTATTTTCTTCATGGACAGACTTCCATAAGATGCCTTAGTCAACATGAAATATGGCCTTCTAGTGAAATAACATATCCAGTGTGGGATATCAGTATGTATGCTTTTACTTCGAAACGGAAATGATCAATGCTACTAACACCCTTAAGCGGGCTAATTTCTGGAAATGCCCCACTTTATGTAGGTCCTGGAGTTTTAAAATCTATATTATTCAGACAGCTGTTTCTGATTATTAAAGACAATCTCCACAACCGCCTGTACTGACAATCATCATGCACTTACTAGTGGCAAACTTCGAATGGTAATAGTCGAGATTCTAGCAAGAAAGTGTGACCATGGGGACCTGACTGTGTTAATTATTTGACAAATATCATCAATGAGAATGGTCGCACAATATTATGAAATGACTGAATTTACATATCTAAACTATTGTATCCCAACTCAGGGGTCTAAAGTTAAGTGATGTCTGTGTGACCTAAAAGTCTTGGGTTCGATCCATATCGAGGCCGTGAATGGACTCTTCTGAGTTTTGTTCTAGAACAAAGCAGTCGTCCAATGCCTCCAGGTTTTCTGACTCAAGTTATTACGTGGTATAAACCTACGTATTACAGAAGTGTTTACTTTAGATTGTATGCCAATTTTACTGATGTACTAGTTAAATAAAAGATATAATTTCAATATGAGTTTTAATAACCTATTACTGTCATTTTGTAGGCGTAAAAAGAACAAACCTGTTTTGCCTCCATCAAAACCTTTGCCAACTCCACCTGGGAAAGAAGAGAAAAAGAAAAAGAAAGGTTAGTCTTCTATGAAGTTTTTGTTTCACCTCTATTTTCATCAATTGAGCGTCCGCTAGAAAAAGCATGTTAAGTTTCATGTATTTGTGGGTTGAGTCTATCATTCTGTACAGAATATTATTAGTTAACTCTTCGGAATAAATTAATGCGACTTTTTTAAGGTATATAAATATGACTAGATATCTATTTAAGTGAGAAAATTTACATAAATAGATGGAGAAAGAAACTTACTTAAAAGGCCATTTCCTTTATTGATAAGTAATTAGGACATGAAGAATTAACTATATTTGTACCACTATGACCGACTTGATCTATATCACCTAGATTCCCAAACCATTGGTTTCGGATCCATCCCGGACACTATATAGAAAGACTATAGTTACCTTTGTAGCTCAAATTGTATGCATGGATATCACCATTTCTCGTCACATTTAAGCCTTTTCTATTCTTATTCAGTTGTCAAAACATATCGTGGTCAGCATTTACTAGGTCTTCATTGTACCTGTTCCAACCACAGTGTGTAAGTAATAAATCCACCAGTTAGTTTCACTCTTTCAGTAACTGTCTCCACCGATTCTCAGCTCTGGGAATAGTTAAAAAACTTTGGTATCTATGTTTATACAACTCTTAAGTGTCCCTCGTTTAATCATTTCATGTCTTCAGAGTAAGATAATATAGCATAGTACACTTAACTAGTAATAGGCATTTGAATATCTGATTGAGTTAAATAAATAATCAAATTGCATGTTTTTTCTTGTCCTATGCCTGTTTTACTACTCCTGAATATTTTACATCTATTGCCTGTGTAAATTATGCATTTTGTGCATCTTACTTTCATCATTCCGTATTAAGTAGTCGGAAAATATTTGGTGTCTATACTACGGCATAAATTGAAGCCTAGTTTCACACCATAAGCTATCATTAGTACAAAACGTTTAAGCATACGTTAACATGTCCATACCATATACATAGTCCACGTCGTTCATGAAAACAGACATACTAGTCTGTCTGAATTTAGTGATACTGAAAAAAATGACATATTCAATATTGTTTTGTTGGAATTGTGCACATGCTATTCATTTTCCTAACACTCTTTCTGTCCCACAATCTCGCCTATTCATGCTGCACTTGCATACTTCTCTATATTTAAACGTTTGTGACTCATCTTTCTTGTTGTTACGTTTTCATTCCTTCATTCTTTACTAATCATATATAGTACATCGTAGTATATTTATGACATTTATTAAGGAAATATTCATTTAGTTTGATTTCTTATAGAATGCACAAAATTGATGTTGTTACTAGATTGTATGTTGATATTATGCCTAATAATAAGTCGCCCGACCGTTGCTGCTACCTTGACGTGGTGGTCGGGCTTGCCTATGGTGATGAAGCAATCGAGCTATGCTGGCTGGAACAATCGTTCCTCGAGGTCCTACCATGCCAGACAGGTCGGTTGAAGAGCGGTGAGACTAAAAGCAGCAAACCCAAGGTCCGAAGGCGAAGTCGTACTGTCGACTGTACAGAGGTGTGACGGCAGTAAGGTGTTTCCTTCAGACAACCAGCATGACAGCGATGTTGCCTTCCCACAAGGAGGGGTGGGGTTAGAAAAGGTCGGCCCTAAAAATGTACACCTCGCCTTATCCCACGGATATCCGTCTCCGGCGGTAAGGTTTTTTTTGAAGAACGGAGCTAACACAAAAACTACCCACAAAAAGGTCGTGTGTGACCGACCTCAAGCAGTTGTCCCTTGGGCACTGCGGTCACGCTCTCAGGTCATTAAGACCACTTCTAACCCAATTTCCTTTTCAGGTACCCCCAGGAGAACCCTTCCACGGTGTGGGCAACCGGGAAGTGATAACTGCCCTTATACCCCTAACAGCACTCAAGACCACCGTATTCATAATCAATCTTCTTCAATTCCTACTATTCCTTCTACCTTGACTTTCAACACTAAACTTCCTGTTCCGGTTTCCTCCTCAAGTGTCACCATGGCCAACGATTCTAGTGCGCGAAACGCTGTCCCAGGTCTACTTAAACCTCGCTCCAAACTACACATTGGAGCCTTCAACGTACGTACCCTATGCCAAATCGGTCAACAGGCCTCCTTAGCTAAAACTTTAGAATCTCGTACCATTGATGTATGCTGTGTCTCCGAAACACGCATACAGGATCCCAGTGTGGTCATTCACTTGACCTCACCTCGCCAAAATGGACAGCCAACGAAATACACCCTCCGTGTATCTGGCGACCCGTTGGCTAGTTCTCGCGGACTTGCAGGTGTAGGCATAGCACTAAGTACAAGGGCAGAACAGGCACTATTATAATGGATCCCCGTTAACAGTCGCCTGTGTGCTGTCCGGCTGAATGGCTCCGTAAGAACTCGGAAGGATAGGGACACACGTCGTTGCCTTTTCGTCGTTTCTGCCTACGCTCCCACCGACTGCAACCATGATGAAGTGAAAGATGACTTTTACAGAAAGCTCTCTGAGCTTCTTCAGAAAGCTAAGCGCTCAGACATAGTAGTCGTAGCGGGTGACTTTAATGCCCAGGTAGGCAGCTTGAATCAAACAGAAAGACATTTAGGTGGGTGTTTTAGTATTCCGGCTCAACGAACCGATAATGGTGATCGTCTGTTGCAACTATGCTCAGACAATCGTTTATTTTTAGCAAGCACTAATTTTAAACATAAGGAGAGACATCGTCTAACATGGCGACCACCTGCACCAAACCAACGATGGACTCAAATAGACCATGTTGTCATCAGTCATCGTTGGAGAGGCTCAATAGAAGATTGTCGCTCGTATTGGAATACTTGTTTAGACTCTGATCACGCTTTAATACGAGCGCGCATTTGTCTGCGCCTCAATGGACGCAGGAAAAGTACACTAAGAAGACCCATTAGGATTGAACTTGAGGATGAGAAAGCCAAATGCGAATTCCAGAAACAACTAAGTTCACATCTAGGCAGTTCTGTAAACAAGACTGACACAGATGCTGCTTGGAAAGACATACGAACAGCTGTGGAAACAGCAGTAACATCTATTAGTCATTTAAACCATAGGGCTCCAAAAAAGCAGTGGATTTCTTCTAAGTCTATTTTACTGATGGATTCGCGTAAACTCATCCCATCAGGCTCTGAACATGACGAAGAGCGTAAAGAAATTAGATATAGGTTAACTAAAAGTCTAAAGAATGATCGTGAGCAGTGGTGGGCAACGAAAGCAAAAGAGATGGAAAAGGCAGCGGCTGTAGGGAACACCAGGCAACTATTCAGACTAATAAAAGAAACCGGAATTAAGAAGTCAAGTGTAAGTGAGACAATCTCCGAAAAAGACGGAACCCTTATCTGCTCTCAACCCAAACGTTTAGAACGATGGGCGGAACACTTTAAGGAGCAGTTTAGCTGGCCTTCAGCTACTGCACAACTACCCACTATTCCTAGAAAACCTGAATGGAACATTGAAGTAGGTCCCCCGACCCTACTTGAAGTTCAAAAGGCTATAGGTAATCTGAAACGAGGAAGAGCAGCTGGTCCAGATGGATTGGCTCCAGAGGTCTTTAAATATGGTGGTCCGATTTTAGCGATTAGGTTGACTAATATTCTGGCTAAAATCTGGGAGACGGATGTAATCCCATCTGACTGGTCACAATCACTGATTGTCCCAATATATAAAAAGGGGTCAAAATCATCCTGCGATAACCATAGAGGGATTAGTCTGACCAACATAGCATCTAAAATACTAGCCTCAATAATTATCGGGCGCCTAACTAAGACTCGTGAACTGCAAACACGAGAAAATCAGGCTGGCTTCAGACCTGGTCGTGGCTGTATCGACCACATATTCACCATTCGTCAAGTCTTAGAGCACAGACACGCTTATCGGCGTCCGACAATGATAGTTTTTCTTGACTTGAAAGCAGCATTTGACTCTGTAGACCGAGAGGTTCTGTGGCAATGTCTGTCATTGAAAGGTGTACCTGAGAAGTACATAAACCTTGTGAAGGCTCTTTACTCGAACACTACCAGTCGAGTGAGAGCTTATGGCGAACTGTCATATGATTTTACAACCTCAAGTGGTGTCCGACAAGGCTGTCCACTATCCCCATTTTTGTTTAACTTCATTATAGACCTGTTGCTGGAAATAACACTCTCTTCGACTGAATTTACAGGAATTGATCTCCTACCAGGGGGACCACTAAGCGACTTAGAATACGCAGATGACATAGTCCTGTTTGGTGAAGACGCTGGCTAAATGCAGAGTCTTCTGTTGGAACTCAGTAATAATGCCAGGATGTTTGGGATGCGTTTCTCCCCATCCAAATGTAAATTGTTACTCCAGGACTGGCCTACGTCAACACTTGAACTAAGGATAGGGAGTGAAGTAGTCGAACGCGTTGACAACTTCACTTATCTTGGAAGTCTGATCAGCCCTAATGGGTTGGTGTCTGACGAAATCTCAGCGCGGATTCGAAAAGCTCGTTTGGCTTTTGCCAACTTACGTCACCTATGGCGAAGACGAGATATCCGTCTATCAATTAAAGGACGAGTATACTGCGCATCAGTTCGCTCTGTTCTACTTTACGGTTGTGAAACATGGCCATTAAGAGTAGAAGATACTTGTAGGTTACTAGTATTTGACCACAGATGCCTTAGAAATATTGCTCGCATCTGCTGGGATCACCGGGTAAGTAATAGTGAGGTTAGACGCAGGGTATTAGGGAACGATGGTAAATCAGCTGATGAGGTGATGAATCTTCATCGACTGAGATGGTTGGGCCATGTGTTACGTATGCCTGAACACCGATTACCACGACGCGCTATGATGACTAGTGTAGGGGATTGTTGGAAGAGAGTTAGGGGCGGCCAAACCAAAACATGGCATCAGTGTTTAAAGTCACTAACTTCTAGTCTGAGCCATGTTGACAGATGCAGACTACCTGGTTGGGGTCCGCGTGACTATCGTAACCAATGGTTGGAGACTCTGGGTGACATGGCTCAGAATCGATCACAATGGCGTAGGTGTATACACTCTTTATCTTCCTTTAAACCTTGAGACTAAAATTGCTTCATATCTCTCTTCCTTCCTATACTATATCCTTATATACAACCTATAATTTATATACTACTACCACCACTACATTAATTACTTCTATGAATCCGGTGTTCATCTTGTTGTGCTAACGAGGTATGGCAACTTGGACCGATGCATAAATGTGCCTGGTCCTACGTTGTAGCTGACTGAATAATAAGTCGAACTCGTGAGTATTATCGTTAACCTTACAAGTACAACACCAGAGTGTAGTAGAGCGTGATGAAAATGACTAGACAATTTATCAATTAATAAAAACACTTCATATGTACAGTGTGGAGGATAAATGATAGTCCTTGAAATATCAAAATACACTTGTAGCAGTTTTTTTAATCTCCAGGTTATGTGAATAATCTAAGCTATAACTTCCGTATCACGTGATTACACAAATCATCATTATCCTAGGTGAAGTAGTGTCAGGTGACTTAGCTGAAAACAATAATTTTAGCGTGGTTATCCATTATGTTTATCTGTCTGTGCGCGTCATGACAAGAAAATAATATGAGAATTTAGTTTAAAGTATTCATTGTGTTCTTAATAAATTTAACTATGTTTACGTAACAATTCTCATTGAATCTCATATAGGTTAGTATTTCCAAGAGATCTGTCGATTGATTTTATCTATTTCGAATTTTAAACGGTTAAACGCAATCCTCAATGAACGTACGCATGCCGACTAAGATCGATCGAAATCCAGTCAGAAAGTATCACAACGTGATAATTCAACACTACTACAAACTAAGTTGAATGCGATTTTGACAATTTCTTAGGGTATTAAAACACGATATAGTTGTAGCATTAATATAATAGACATCCTGTGTGGTTAGGTGGTTATGTAGAAGCACTTTCAAGCGTACTCTAAATAGTATGAAACAGTTATCCTATTTTATCAGTGAACCATAATTTTTCGTAGCAAGAATGTGAAATGTGTATTAACTAAATCGACACTTAGTTGCTTACTACATAATTACCTCAACAATGAGGAATATTTCAACCATAAACACTGTATGGATTTTATTCTAACTGCTTTCGCCCTTTTTCTGTTAAAGATATATTACAGTATTCATGTGTTTTCTTTTAAATTAATGATTGGTCAGTGTTGTTTTGTATACCATATTTACCCTTAATACTATTATCAGTAGTATTTATAATGGATAGTTCTTAAAGGATTATCAGTTATCTGATAATGAACTAATAGAAATTAATAACTTTCCATGCGAATACTTATTTACACTTCTTTTAATCTTTGTTATTATATATATATATATATATATATATATATATATATATATATATATTTGTGACACCCAATCTTGTTCACTTGGCAGCCATATTGTAATGTTCATTTTTAAAAAAGGCCAATGGATCAGTGTCACTGTTCCAGTATAATTTTTTATTTATTTTATTTAAACATAAATATTGGTACAAAAAGCCACCAGATATATATGCGCCATACAAACCTCATTCTATTTGTGTGATGGCTGTGATACTGCTCAGGTGCCCAAACTGAAGCAGGTGGTTTTCTTAGGGGACCACACCCGTTGCCTTTGACCTAAAGGTTTAGTCCACAAGGCAGTGGAGCATCGTGAGGAGATGCAGTCCCATGGTAGCCGATGACCAACAGTTGGTTCATACGCCATTCGTTCCTTCAGGATCCTGGAGCCCATGTGCACGATTGGTTTGGAATCAGGGTTTTCCAACTCCCCTAGGTGGATCCTCCACATCCATCAACCCGGTTAAGGCGCCGGACATTCGCTTTTCATCCTCTCATTTTTGTGAACAACACTCCCGCCACGAGAAGGCAGTGAGTAGGACTTCCCTGTCAGAGGCTATATATTCGCGTGGCCATATGAGAGCATTTTGAGAGGGAGAGCAGACTCTCCTCACTCTCGGCCGTACCAGGGCATTTTGGGGTCAAAAACCTGGAAGCACTGGACGGCCGTTTCAGCAGTGCGCATCCACGACCCCGCACTCTCGAGATTCGAACCTAGGACCTACCAGTCTCTAGCCAGAGCCCTTAACCAATAGATCACTGAGCCGTATAATTGTTACTTTTTTATGGATGCATCTCATCTGCAAAAGGACAATAATATGTTACTGAGTCACAACATATGTGTTAAGTCGGTTTCCAGAGAACTCCAACAGAGCCTCCAGAGGCTCAAAAAGAGCTCCAACCATTCAGAGCACGACAGAACATTCTGGAGTTCCAACGTGGCATGCTACCATTGGTCAGTAGCAATATATGTCGTTTATTGGATTGGCTGAATTAGGATGTTGATTTAACTTAAGCAAACATCTAGTACAAAACTGAACCTTGCAATAAAGCATCTTCTCGCTACTCGTGTCTTCTCTCTGGTCTTCAAGTTGCTGAGTAGTGCTAGCCTGGGGTTGTCCGAATAGCTTAGGATCTGAATATAGCGTTCAACCTATAAGACATATCAATATGTTAGCTGATTAGAGTAGAATTAATGTAACTAGTAAGAACTACATAGATAATTATTATTATTGCATGCCTCGTCCACTCTTGTATGTGTCTCTTATCACTTGTGACCACCTGGATGTCCTGTTAATGTTTAACGTGATAATACCGCCAATTAGAGAGCAGCGGTTTATCGATCGAACCTATGACACACGGAAACTGTACGAGCAGTCTTAGAGTACTTGTCGGTCCTGCTTTCTGCCCAGCCCAGCCAGTTAAGTCCAGAACACCAATCTCAACCCCTGCGGTGTAAGTCATTATATTTCAAACATACTGAGTTTATATGCCAATCAAACTGACCACATCGTACCAATAAAATAGAAAATAACATTTGTACAAGATTCAGCCAAAAGTAGCTGTGAATGTGGGGAACAGTAATTAATAGACTGGGTATAATTCAAGAACGGTAAATCATATAATAATAGTTCATAGGTCAAAATAAAGCTCATAATAAGGGGGACATGAATATGAATAGTTTAGTTATTTAACAATTATACAATAAAAATATACGCGTAGTATTGGTCCATAAATGGATCCCAAAAACTACCATTCATTATTCTTGTCGGGACATAACAGTGTCTACATTTAAACCTATTGCACAATGCTATTTTTACCATGAGCATAACATTTTGTTTCGTCTTTTTTTTTAAAAAATCCTGATGGTGAAAACGTTTTTATGTTGCCTAACTCTTAAACCATTTTATGTATCATATAGGTACAAAACAGGTATTTTTCATTTTATCTGATTTCTGCAGATCCACCCATAATTAAAAATATTAGTTTATCTCGTTATCGATTGGTAGTTATGACAGAAAGAATCTCTGAGTAATTCTCAATCATTTTGATGCATGTTTTCATCCGCTTATTATTATGCTTGCAGAAAGACAAATACTTATATGCTTTTATCTAACTAAAATAACTATTAAAAAGCATACAAACACCGTTAATAAGTGTGTAGGCAGTAAAGTGTAGAATTTGCATATCATTTTTAGTTTTTGCGCATTCACTTGAATTATTGATGTGTCAAGTATGGGACTCAAACTATCACTTTTTCCGTCTTTATAACTAACTGAACTGTTGCTGATTTCCACTTCTTTTTTGAATGAATTTTCAATCAGCCTTCTTTGATTATAACCAAATTTTTTTTGTGTATGCGGTATTCGCGCATATCTGTATAGCAATTGTTTTTATTTAAATACATCATTCATATCAGTTTCTGTACAAATGGCGCTTATTACCATGTTAATTCATCTCTTAATAATTCATCTAATAAACAATACTTTCATAGATTACATACCACATTTCCGAGTAGTCCTATACTGCAAAGAAACAGTTCAGCTCTCTCTAGTTTTCAATAGTTGTCTAGCTGAAATCAATGCCTGATATATCCTATAAAAATTCAACAATCTCTACTAATCTGTTAGTAACAATACCTTTTTTCTGAATCACTTAAAAAAATAAACACCTTTTTATTATATGGTTCAATAAACTTGTAGATAGATGATCTTCAATATTTCCTTTGACTTACCTAGTGAAAATGTTCCGATTTCCTAAATTCGGCCGATCAGAAAAAACTGAGCCACAAATTTCTGGCCCTACAGAAGTTACGCATAATCTACACGTGGCATTTGATAAGTCCACAGGCGAAATCAAGGTCAGTTGACTCATTATTGTTCTTTGACTTTTAAAACTTTCATAGTAGATCTTTGATAAACAGTCAGTAAATATTAGTATTATATATATCAAAGCTATCATTGTATTTAATCAGATTATATTTTTGTCTTTAACGGAACGAAAAACATTTTCATATTCATATACAATTACTTTTATAAATATTCATTTATATACCATATTAATTTTATATTTTACTTATTAACTATGGACGTTTTGTTTTCTATGCAATTGTATTTGACAAATCATATGAATCAGTGAACTGTAATTAATTTAATGTATGAGGCTAGAATCCCGTTTTCGTTTTTAGTTTGTTTGTGATAGAAGAATAATTTTAGACAGAAAAACTATTTATCATATAAAATATATTCATCAGAAACATAAAGAAAGTGGATTAAAATAGATTCATTGTTTATAAGTTTTACTTTGATAATGCTTGGAGCTCTCGATAATTCCTCAAGAAAATCTCTAGAAGTCGGGTGAACGCTGAAAACTTCTCGGTTATTCAGCATTGAATAGAAAGGTCTCTGAAACATTTAAAAAAAACAAGCAGCTTGATTGAGTAATTAATTATCTTTTTAATATATTTGGTATATTTCCGGAAGCCCCCCTGTACCAATATTTATATGTTTAAATAAATAAATAAATAAAACCGGAAGCTCATAGTAGGTAGAGGCTACATTTCAGCCTATAAATAAGCTTGTTTTCTGTATTTAAATTGACCATGAAGTAAAGTTTCTATTCTCACTTTACTCCTTTGCCTCACCGTTCAGATTTGAGTGTAGGGGGTATAGAAAACAGCTAGACAGGCAGTCTCAAGCATTTGAGTACCAGACATATCAGATAATTTGTTTTCTCAAATTATCTGTATATAAATATGGAAAGTTTAACTACTGTTTCTGTTTATTATTATTATTTTCTTTAGAGGATTTGCATTCTGATGTTTTTTTATTGAGATATTTGGTATTCGGTGTATTGTTTCCAAATTGTTACTGTTTATTTGAATCACTGAATCGATGCACCATTTTCATTCTATCTTTTTACGTTTAACTTTTATCTATTCGGAGTTGTGATGTAAATGTACGTGATAGTTGAATTCATTGCTTACCAGTCTTCAAAAACACTTTACTTTCAACTATTGAGTTAAACTTTCAAACGCTTCAATTTGGGTAGTAATAATAGTAGTAGTGTAGTGAGCTAAGACTTGGTGGGGAAGATCAATTTATTGTTTAATACAAAATTACAAAGTGTCTTCATAAAATATGAAAACTGTACATTAAATTGTTCATTTGCACATATCCCATCGATTGTTTCTTACAAACTTCATCGTTCCTTCATCTCCGTCGTTGTTACAATTACTTTCTGTTTACATTCCTGTTCTCTTCAATTTAATTTTAACCTTCTGATACCAGGCATACCAATTGTGATTGGCGTTGCACACTACTTATGTCTGTTAACATAATGTTACGTCCTTGAATCTGTCTACCCACTTAGTGCGGAGTATAATGTAGATTAAGACCTTGACACGATAGACTGACTGGCTTAACCTTGAGGACAATATGCGTGAGTTCGAAATAGGGGTAGAGAGACGAAAACTATTCTGTCCCTGATTGGCTGGCAAGCACGAGAGAGAGAGAGAAGACAAGACAGATGGAACACTAATCACTTTATTCCAACCCGATCTAGCACTCGAATTCCCAATTCAGATTAGGGTGAAAAGTTACATGAATAAATAGATGACTAAGCGGACCACAACGTACAATAATTAGAAAAATACAATCATGTCCAAAACTGGGGAATTATAGTAGAAAATAGGGTACAAAAGATTACGTCTAAATGACAATAGCTTTAGGGCAGAAAATGCTATGGCGATGAATTATACATCAAACGAAAGCTTATGATCTGTAGAATAGGCTAGGGGCAAAAGTAAATGTTACAATTTTACAAGCTTTGAATTAAACGAATTAACGTCCCCCAAAATAGCTTCCGTAATTTGTTAAGGCTTCTTGTTTTGCGGTTCACATCATCTTCCCCCTTGACGAAAAAAAAGTTTTGTTAACACTGCCATTGACTGCGTGCATAAGGGAAACTGGACGGCGTTGTGGTCATTGTAAAAGAAAAAGGACCAATTTGGTTAACTGGAATGAAAAAGAAAAGAAAAGCGGTTAGTCACTAATTACAAACAGTAGCTAATATATCATCGACATCTCCCCCCGGAAAAGTATGCTCCTTTCTTTGGGTCCATCTGCATAATATCAAGTCTTTTGCGTTTCCGTCGTGATCTCCCAATAGAATGTTGTTGAGGTTGAACAGTCTTCTTAGTTGCAGCATTTTCTACATCGAAACTGTCCAAGAAAAATTTCCACATTGAGCACGGTTTCTGGGCTTTCTGTGAAGGTGAGAATCGGGAACGACGATAGATTTTCCACTTCGCCCCATGATGGCGATTCCATTGAGTTCCGATCTTTCTCACAACTATTATGGGAGGAGCCCAGTTTGAGTGATTTACTGGCTGAACAACACCTAGTGCTTCAAACCTTTCAAGTTCTTGATCAACGACTGACAGAGCAGCATAATTTACTGGTCGTTTGAGTCTGAAAATGGGCTTTGTATTTCGCTTTCGTAGATTATTTGCATGAGATGCAGCCGGCATTTTAGAGGCATTAAATGCATGAGATTTTGAGACCTTACGATAGCAGACTTTGTTTGACGAATTTGATGGGGAATCATTTTGTGAACATGTTCCATCGGAGTTATTGGATTTAACATCATTGTGAGAACACATTAAATCGGATGTAATCGATTTAGTATCATGAGAACACATTAAATCGGAGGTATTTGATTTGACATCACGATGAGAACACATTAAATCGGAGGAATTCGATTCAGAAATAATACGAGAACATTTTACATCAGAAGCATTTACTTCATAGACATTAGGGGAACATGACACACCAGAGGCATTTGATTTAGAAATATCATGAGAATTTTGGATAGAATCAGAGCAAGAATCATGAGAACATACTTCATTTAATAAACTATTTAAGACATCAATCTTCTCAATCCAGTCCAATCCCAATAGATCTAAATCATGCCGATTTGTTAGATAACAAACGTCAGTGAATTTATGTTCCTTGAACTGCACGTTGCAGGTGACTTCTCCAGTTAGCTTCACTATGTCGCCTGAAGCATTTCGAGCAACATGCTCTGTTGGTCGGATGCGTGGGCACCCTAGCTTACGCCATGTGTTCTTGGAGATCAGCGTAATGTCGGAAGCAGTGTCTAATTGAAGACGAATAGGTTTTTCATTCACTAATAAGTTCACATACTTCCGTTTACTTTGAAATCCCACTTTAAAAGTTGCAAATGTGCTTTTGACTTGACTCTGTAGCTGTCGCTTCACATTTACGCCACGATGTTTGAACTGACGTTTATCTGAGGAGCAGTAACCTTCTTTATGACCAATGCGATGACATTGGCGGCATTTGTGGTTCTTAAATGGACATAACTTCACAAAATGCCATGATCCGCAGAACCAACATGATGATGGTGGTTTACCAGAAGGTTTCTGTGTGTTCGCCGTCTTTTGTTTGGAAGGTTTGGAAGATCTGCATGCATTTATTGAAGCAAAATTGGAAGTCTTTGCATTTTGCTGTACCATCGTGGTATCATGTTTAAGATTTAACAACCGTTGACACTCGGTTGTGACCATTTTCAGGGTCATGTTAGGCTCCTGCTCAATGCGTGATAGAATTCTGGTACGTATGTCCATATCTTCCGGATTCTTTAATCCACAGATAAAAATCAGACATTTAAATTGATCTGCTGTAATTTCATTTATTCTAAAACGTTCGCATTCTTTATTTACATGTCCAGCGTATGTAAGATAATCATCAGATAAGGATTTAGATATTTGAAAACACTGATAACGGATGCTGAATAATGAGGATTGTTCACCAAAAATTTTAGATAAAATTTGAACTGTCTCATTAAATGATAAATCTCGTGGATTTTGTGGCAAAATGAAATTTACATATTTGTTATATTCAAGTGTTCCGAGTCTTCTCAAGAGTAGGCGAACTTTGGCTGCATCATCAAGATTCGAGCATTCAACACGAAATGTGTCTTCAAAACGGCGAAACCAGGAATCGAAAATAATACCAGAATCGGGATCATAATTGAATTCACAAATAGAATTCGCGATGCTGTCATATTTATCTGACTGAGAATTTGATGATGAATGAAATGAGAGCTTCTGCATCAATGCATCTAAAAGCTTCATTTGGTTTGCATCATTCTGAGCTTGCTGGATTTGTAGAATAGTTTTAAGGTCGTCCAAAGAAACAGACATTTTGATTTGGATCAATCAATATTTTTAAAAAAAAATCTCCGTCGCCACTTTTGTTACGTCCTTGAATCTGTCTACCCACTTAGTGCGGAGTATAATGTAGATTAAGACCTTGACACGATAGACTGACTGGCTTAACCTTGAGGACAATATGCGTGAGTTCGAAATAGGGGTAGAGAGACGAAAACTATTCTGTCCCTGATTGGCTGGCAAGCACGAGAGAGAGAGAGAAGACAAGACAGATGGAACACTAATCACTTTATTCCAACCCGATCTAGCACTCGAATTCCCAATTCAGATTAGGGTGAAAAGTTACATGAATAAATAGATGACTAAGCGGACCACAACGTACAATAATTAGAAAAATACAATCATGTCCAAAACTGGGGAATTATAGTAGAAAATAGGGTACAAAAGATTACGTCTAAATGACAATAGCTTTAGGGCAGAAAATGCTATGGCGATGAATTATACATCAAACGAAAGCTTATGATCTGTAGAATAGGCTAGGGGCAAAAGTAAATGTTACAATTTTACAAGCTTTGAATTAAACGAATTAACGTCCCCCAAAATAGCTTCCGTAATTTGTTAAGGCTTCTTGTTTTGCGGTTCACATCATCTTCCCCCTTGACGAA